GAACACACATTCCTTATCGAGTATTGAGAGGCAAAACATTTTCATTGAGTTTTGAGTCAACTTTTTTCGTGAGAAGAATATGTTATGTGTTTTGATAAATAGATAAAAAGTCATAGATATAGTAATGTTATAAATATATGTTATATTATATTTATATATTATATACCGTATATAATATGTGTCATATAAACCACATTATATAAAGCATATAAAACTAAGAATATTCTTATGAATTTTGTTTTTATCAAAAATACAAATATAATATAAATATATATATATATACTGTATTGTCTTTGTTCTTATGGTATATAGTATATACTGTATATAATAAATATGAAATATATACAGTAAATGCTAAAATTCTCTCTCATTTGTTACACTATATGAAAGGTTATCAAAAATTAAAATTTTTTTAACTAAACTATTTGTTCAATTTTGTAATTAGCAAAAATTATAATGTAGAGTTAATGTTGTAGTATTAGTGTATAAATAGCATACATTATTTAGTAGTATCATTTACAATTTTTTTTATTATGATAACCCAATTATAAAAAAATATTTCAATAGTTTTTTATTAATATATAAATTTATGTATAATTATTTTATCCAACTTTTTAACAATATAAATATTATAATTTATAAACAGAAACAATGATATTGTACCAAATTACTGCAAATTGCGTCAGTAATATACAGTATATATATATATATATTGTAATATTGAATATATTGTCCGATTGGGATTACTTGACAATGAGATACAGATTGTTAACACATAACAATTGWTAATAGAAATCATTATTGCAAACATCGACATATATATATACAGTATATATGTTTATGTATATGTGTTTATATATACCGTATATATATATATATATATGGCCATAGTGTCATATAGGTTTGAYAATGTAGCGTTATTTTTTGATCCACAAATAYCACATTAARTAGTCATGTAATATATTGAATATTAATTGAATGTATTTTTAATTAATGTTAATTTATTGATTAAGGATGTATATTGCTATTATTATAATTAGGATTAGRTTGCGAGACCTACATCAGRTTATTTTATAGCATATARWAAAMCGTTATATTGTCAAAGTTATATTTATATTACACAAAACCCATAATTTATATTAAATTTTATATTGTTTGTAAATTTTATAATTTTTTGTGAAATTTAATTAAATAAAATTATTTAATAAAATTGGCAAAATTTTCAATTATATTGTTTTTTATTTAATAAGTATATAAAAACCAAAATAAAAATTAACTAAAATATTATTATCCGATTTCAAACAATTTATGGTTTATATTGTRTACTAAAGAATGATATTATTTTCTATAWAAGAAAGTGTTTGAAATGATACCAAAACACAATACACGACAGTCTTTACCAAAGAAAATGAATATAAAAGTGGATTCAATGTTAAGCTAACAATTGTATCGAAAAATAATAGAAAATATAGTAAAATATATTACATATTAACTCAATTTCTGATATCTATTCTTCTATAGTGTTGTTATATAGTAGTCTCTAATGTGTTGTCCATTCAATTCTTTTATATCCAATAATAACAGTAAGAAATGTTGGTTACAAACATGCATTGGATTTCAAATCATATAAACTAATGCATGACTGGACTAATTTGTGTTGAATTTTTACAACTAAATATATACTACTATTGAATATAAGACAAATACCAATGGATTTTGATGTTTACTCTTAATGACTATTTTTCTGTTATATAATAGACGTGTTGTTATTAAAAGAATTTATACTATATATTAACTAATATCAAAAAATGAATTGTTTTGACAATTATAATAAATTAAACATTTATAWAAATAATTKTATGTTYKCTTCAATTGTAAGATACTATYGCATATATTTAATATATAATACAGTATTATGAGTATCTGTAGATTCAATAATACATTTGAGCTCAAAAATAGATTCACCAAAACTATTGTGTAATTCAAAATCAATAGTCAATTGAATGCACTTCATATATCACAAACACTGTATATATTGTGTTCATTATATAACCGGAATCGTAACAAATATAAGTMAAACTATAGATAAAGTCAAAGCCATCCAAACAATTTAGTTGTCTTTAATATAAATAACAAACAAAGTTAATATATAGCTTTCATATCAATTCACTACTGTTTTTAWATTTATTAATACTATATTTTATATATTTTATGATTTCTATATATTTGATATTTTYGGTACARAAATAGTATAATTAAATAATCTRATATTGTATTTCTTGTATTAWTATTATTATGTCAAACATTTTAATGGAGCATAAAATTTAATGTATTAGAGAGAGAAAGAGAGAGAGAAAGAGAGAGAGAAAGAGAGAGAGAAAGAGAGAGAGAAAGAGAGAGAGAGAAAAAGAGAGAGATGTGGTATATTTGTTTTATCCCCACAAACACACATATATATCATATACAGTCACTATATTTAATATATTATACGTCAATATTTGCAGACTTCCTTGAAATGTAATCAAAGTCAAAATCAATCGTTTATATAGTTTTAATCAATGTCTACAAATGTTTAGATGAATCAACAAATATTGTTAAGTCATGAGAGAGTCAGAGAAAGATATTGAAAAATATTGAAAAAAGTTTTTCACTTTATATTGCATAGAAAACCTAAGACTTGAATATTATATTTACCATTGAATTTAATTTCATTGAATTGAACACTCATTCATATTTTATTATTGGAAATCTTTATTTACAATATATAAAGTCATGTAATATTGATATCACCAGAAAATGCATTTTTAAAATGTTTTCTCTCAATATATTGTTAAAAGAAAAAAACGTTTGCAAACCATTAAACTTTTGAGCTGTGATTTATGAAAAAAGGATTTTTATTCAACAAATCTGAAGGATAACTATAATAGAAATACTTCTGTTTATACAATATATACTGTATTTGCAGTAATATATCTAACTATATGTATGTATGACTTATACATTATAAGTATACGAATAAATATATATTTTTTTTTGTATTGAATTTTCAAGAGAGAGAAGACTTTTGTTAGTCATCTGGAAATTGAACTCAATTTGAATAGTGATGTGAATTGATAGTAAAATTCACAAAAAACTATTTGATATGACTTTATATGATATGAATTTTTGTTTTTGAATATTTTACTATTATTTTTTATATTCTTTAGAGATAATTCTTATAAAAAATAATATTTTGCACAATAATTATTATTTATTTCTGACATATTTTCATTATCTAATCATAATTATCCCGGTAATCTCATTATTATAATTACAGCAAAGAAATTTGATTAATTATAATTATATTTTTAAATTATTTACGTATAACGTAAATTATATTATCATTATCTTTAGTGAATATTATAAAAATTTATATGATATAAACCAAGTTGTAAATGTGTGGCCATTAACTTAATATTGATTTTCTAACATTTAAAAGAAAGTCAAATTAATATTTTGAAAAATCATTGATTTTTTGTGTTTTATATTTTGAGTTCAAAATCCGATATTTATTTAAAATGAAAGTAGAAATCAATAGATTTTTAATCAAATTAAAATTTAAGACGAGTTTGTAATACCTTAAGTCATGCAAATAGAGACAAATTGTCATAAAAATTAATTTAATAAAAAATCTAAAAAAATAATATTTTGTCGTCAAAAGTAATAAAATAATTATCATTAATTTTTGTTAATCTTACTGTGATTTTACATCAGTAAACAAAAATTGTTATTGATAGTTTATTATAGATTAGATATATTTTAATTTTATAATATTAGCAGATTTATAGATTATAGTTTAAAACTTATAAAAAATCATTATTTTAATAATATTTAAATTTTAGTTTTTGTATTTAGTATTGATAAAACTTATATAAAATTAAACAAATAATAAGTTTTAATAGAAATATAAATTATATAATACTGTAGTATTATATTAATAATAATTATAATTTATTAATTATATATAATATGGTAAACTCTAAGTTATTATAGTGTATTGCAATCTATCGGATAGATTTAATAAATAAATGATCAAAAACTATAATATTATTGATTTTTGTAAAATCTCTCTCTTTTTTCTCACTCACTCACTCACTCACTCACTCACTCACTCACTCACTCACTCACTCACTCTCTCTCTCTCTCTCTCTCTCTCTCACTCAATCACTCACTCACTCACTCACTCACTCACTCACTCACTCACTCACTCACTCACTCACTCACTCACTCACTCACTCACTCACTCACTCACTCACTCACTCACTCACTCACTCACTCACTCACTCACTCACTCACTCACTCACTCACTCACTCACTCACTCACTCACACACACACACACACACACACACACACACACACATCACACACACACACACACACACACACACACACACACACACACACACACACACACACACACACACACACACACACACACACACACACACACACACACACACACACACACACACACACACACACACACACACACACACACACACACACTCACWCACACACACACACACACACTCACTCACTCACTTACGCATAAAAACACATCTATTGTAACGTTTGATAAGTTTGTCTTTTATTAGCCAAAACCCGTTACGGATCAGAAAGTAGTGTTTGTCTCTTATAGTCCAAGTGTTTCATCGTTTTGTTTGGTATTAAGCTGTCATTGAGTTCATCAAAGCGTGTCTTTATGTCTAATGGACGACTAGCGGGTGTGGATCAGCCCCGACAACCAACTGTTGTCTTGAGTTTAGCTTTTATTTGAAATATTTAAAAGTTTGAAATAAGTTTTCAAAAAATTTTCTACTAAATTGTTTTATCGAATGACAATTATTTTTCAAGTTATGAAATGCATCTAAAAATTAATATTTTTTAAACATAAGTTTTGTAATATAAATGATAAAATGGGATATTTTGTAAATTATTGTTTTTATTTGTTTGTATTGAGTTTATCTCATGATTTGTACGGATATAATGCTGACAAAGAAGTGTTCGGCACTTATAAGTTGATCGATAGCTTCAAATTTAATAATAAAATTCAAACGACTCCCACATCACAGCTATCATTGCCAACACAGACCCCACAAAACATGACAACTAAGGTATCGACAGCTAAGAGTGATAATGAGGAGCACTGGAAACAAGTGATTGTTCCGGTTGTAGACAACACACCAACTACTGTCCCATCAATCAATTCTCCACAAACATCACCAAATCGTTTATTATATGCCAATCCAGTCTACAATCCAGCGATGGCCCGACAGATTGGTATGAGTACTCTAATGATGAGCGGTCTGTTATATGGACTAACTATGTTGCCGGCTATTATTGCATTAACTACCGGTTCATCTCCATTAGCAGGTAAGTCAATAGTTTAATACTTAATAAATTATTTAAACAATTTTGTTGTATCGTTAGGTCTATTCAGTAGTTTGGGTCGTCGTAAGAGATCACTGGTGAATGAGTCCTATACTTATAGACAATTACCACTTCTTAATAATGAAGAAACCTATAAATTTTTAAAACTATTTGAAAGCACTTTAGCCGTAAGTTTATTAATAAATTAATTAATCTAAATATATGTTAATTAATTGATTTAATAAAAGGCAAGAAAAATCGAGAATCCTATTTGCAAGAAGTACTACACCTGTAAAGTCTATTATCAAGTGTTAAAAAGCGGTGAAAAACCTAAATTACCGGTCTTTGAAAACGCTATAATCAATGTTTTCGGGTTTATATAAAACATATTTTTTAATATATGTTTCAAAATTTAATTAAAAATATTTTATTTTAAATATAATAGTATTGCTGTGGAGAGACGAGACTTTAAATTGCAATTAATACCGACCGTCAAAATGTATTATAATGTGGCAAAGGATGCACTTAAAGGAGAATCCTGTGCCCGACGATATCCCTGTCCTTTTCAAGCACACCATTATATCAAACATGGAATATAAGGTAATTATTAATTAGATTTTAATGAATTTTATTTTTATTTGTTATTATCAGATTATATATTGATAAGTTGAATATAATTATCTATTATATTATTTAAAAATATCAATTGTTGATAAATCTTAATWAGTTTATAAAATATATTTTTTATTTAYATATTTTTGAACAATAATTGCATTCATATCTAGGATAATAATTTTTTTAAAATTGTTATTTTTGAAATAAAATTAAATAGAATCAAAGTTAATAATAAATGCATTTTACACAAAAGAAATGTATTAAATTTWAATAAAAATTGTAAATTAAGTAATAATAATAAATAACATATATATATATATAAATTTTGGTAAACAATTTGTGTCAATTAAACGACTAAATAATGTAATGTCACGGATGTTGACTGTCATGGAGTGACACTTTTATATGAAATCTACGAACCGATAAGTTTTTATAAAGTATATTATGATAACAGTCTTGAAAAATCTTAAATATTTTAAAAATTTATTGTTTTGATGTCCTTTGATGGGGTCAGTCAGGTGTTAGGTCATCGCCATGAACTGCCATATGTGTGAAAATACAATTATCACAAACAAAGATCAATGTCACAAAAATTTCCGTATCTTTTATTTAAAAGAGAGACTATTGTCGACATAATATTTTGAAATTTAACAAAAATATGTCAATTTATTCATTTAAAAAAACGTTAAAAATTATAAAAGACACAATTAATTGTTAATTAATATATGTTTTGTTGATTTGCACGACAAGTAAAATACATTTTCCTTTTTTGAAGAATAAGTTTTTCTTATTAATGTTGTTTTTGATGCCATTGTATTGATTGTTGAATATCTGTGAATAATTATTGTCTAAACCGTGTCCAATACCAGAACAGCCAATGATTTTAATTRAATTGTTGAAAATGCTTTTCAACTCAATGATTGCATGTYTGGCATTATCACCAAAAATAAAACCAATAGTTTCTAGTTTGGGATTTGATTTGATTTTAAATTTTAAATCATTGTTTATTTGTAATAATTTGTTATAAATCTCTGTGTCATTAAAATCAATAACAAAACTGAAAGCATAAGCATTAGGTCCTGAAAAAGTTATACAACAGATATAATCGATGTACTGAAGGGATCTATTAACATGAGAAGTGACCAAACTATCGACAGTCACGCCGGCAAACGCTATATTATTATTGCAATTATTAATAAATTGATCCAAATGTTCAAAATATTGACTATCGGTCTTCAATCGACTAAAATGTCCATAAAGTGATCGCCATATATGTAACATAACTATACCTTTAAGGTGTCTATCTGGTTGAATGTCCATTATTTTAGAGTCTTGATAGACATCCATTTGAAATCCTGGTACCGATCGTGATGTCAATAATACTGATATTCCGGACAACAGATCAAACTGTGACTGATATTCAATGTATTGATCTGAAGTCAAAGTTCGGTGATCTCTTAGAAGTGACTCTTGGGTACCAAAGATTTGATGATTGCGACAATTGATGTGAACAACAGTGCAATCATCCGGGAGGTAATGATTAGCCAGAAATACTTGCATTTCATTGAACTCAAGTCTTGAAAAGACAATAATAAAATGAAATTCTTTAAATTTATTATGTTTTACATAATTATTGTAGACTTCAATTAGATTTTCCAGTGATTGGTTCAAAATATTTTGATATTTATCATCAAATGTTTGTACCGATTGTAGTGATGATTGCATTGATAATAACGGATAATACAAAAGTTGATGCGAAAAGTAATGTCTTTTATAAGCAATTAGTTGTGTAAAGATTCGCCATTTGAGGCAAACTCGGGAACACTTAATCAACTGCGAGGGCTCTAACCATCTGAAGATATTAGCCATTATTAAGTCATTATTAACTAATGATTGCTTTATCCACGCCTTATATCTGGTGTTGGCTTTGCTATCAATACTAACGCTATGTTTGCTAAAGAAAGTAAGTTTTGTGTCTAATTTATATATTATCTCTATATTGGACTATAATTTCCTAATTAAAGTAAAAAAGTTGTGGTATTTTTGTAGTCTACTTACCTATCATTGGGYTCCCAGTCCTCTGAGTTATCTTCAAATATCGACTCGTTATTAGACATGTTCTCAATTGCTGAAGATATGAACAACAAGTAAAACAAACAAAACAATTTGACATCAATTTACAGTATATTTATGATATAAGAAATAAATTATATAGTATTTACTATTATATATAACATCATTATTTGCTCATTAATTTAAGTAATGATAAATAGATTAAAATTGATTATATTTTAATAGATTATTATGTATCTCAATATATGCTAACCAATGGTTATAAATATGTTATAAATGTATAAATTGATTATATTTGTTATAGTAAATTATTATAATTATACTGTTATAAGGTATAATATTTATACAAATTTTGCATTACAAACAATAATAGCAATGCTTTATATAAGTTAATAGCTTTGATGTTATATAAAAATAAAATGCTAATTCCACACCAAATTACATTGCATTAGATTTTTATTATGTAATTAACTCAATAATAAATTCATTTATCATTTAAAACTTGATATTATTAAAGCAAATACAGGTAAATATAAATATCATATAAAGTTATATGCTATACTTAATGTATTAAAATCGTATGAAATTATTTATCACTAATTTAGATTTAATATACTACAGTATATACATTACATATATAGATGATTTTTAATAACAAATAAAAGTTAAATTGATATAAAATTGAATATATTAAAGTATAAAATACCGTAGATTTAATATATATTTTTATTTAATTTCACTGTCATTTAACTATCACATGATTATAATAACGAAACAACAGAGTTTGCACCAAATTGAAGGTTAGTATAAGTTTTAAAAATAGTTTTACTTAATATAAGTTATTATATATTACAATATAATTAGTTTAAAATTGTTTGTCTATACTTCAAAGTACAACAATTTTGATTAGTAAATTTAAAATATCATATATAATTAAAAAAATTAAACAAAATCGTATCAATTAATTTATATACCGTAACTACAGTATTATTGATGTACTGTAAACTACAGTTTATATGTAATGTATAAATGATATTGATAACAAAGGAAATTTATTTAACCAATAATACTCTTTTCGGAAAGTGTATGCGCATTATGTATGTTCTAAAAGTAATGTTATTACTGTAAAAACTTTTAAAGGTATCACTGATTTTACTTTTTTAATTATGAGATAAGATGTTTATCTTTAAATTGTGACTTCAAATTTTTGGCTGAAAGAATTGAAAAATTTGTTAAATCGTTTTAAAAAATGTTGAACTCATTTCGAGTTTGTCATGATATCGAAAATGCTCTGTTAAACTTTATTAAAGACGTCAATCGATTTGAAACTGATTATGATACATTTATTTATGATTATCAAATACAAAAATAATATGGTATATTTTTAGATGGTTACAGATCAATTGCAGACAGTCAAAGAAGTTTAAGATAATGAGTTGTGAATTATGACGTTTTGTGAGACCTTAACGACCCTGATCCACAAAATTATTTTTTCAAATGATTTTTAAGTTATTGGTAAAACTAACTATCATCTCTGATAATATTAAATAAATCGGTTATATTTTTAAAATTTGAGTTTTTTATTCTTAATGATTTTACACCTAAGCAAATAGCTAACAGAAGGTAACTTGAAATATTAAAAGTGACTAAAAAAAGATATGGTGTTATTAATAAAAATGGTTCATCGTACACTTTATTCTCCCGATATTGAGTTATAAGTTTATCACTTGTATCGATTTTTGGGGACATTCCTTAATGGTTAAAACCTGAGAGGAATAGAGGATATCGTAGAAGACATCGATCTCTTTTTTCGCTTACAGAAGAAAAGCTGTTCTGTGGAAGGGTTCCAAAAATTACTTAACAAATGTTTAAATGTTGCTTAACAATAGGGCACATACATTGAATGCAATTAAATAATATTAATTGAAAAATTTAGCTTTTAATTTTTTAGACACCATACGCATACACTTTCCGAAAAGAGTAATATATCAATAAAACCTACAGTACTTTTTAATATTATAAAAAATTAAGTATTATTAGATGTATTGTGTAGACACTGTAGAGGTTTACTGATGGCAACCAATGGATTATAAACTGACGACTCTCAGCAAAAAAACATTAACTTTAATTTACTTTTGAATTGGCAATTGAATTGGTCACACACTATAAGTATATAATTTTTTGATTGAACTATTTTGAGTTATTATTTTATAAAATTGTTAAAATAAAAAATACTTATTAAATTGCAACTCAAAAATAATTAATAAACAAATTTTATGTTACTTAATATCAATATACCTTATATGAAGTTTATTGTATAATACAGCATATTTTTTTGCCATCAAAAAAAACTATTTTAGTTATTAACAATAAATAATTAATCCTTAAATATTGTAAAATCAATAAATTTAATAATTTTATTTAATTTTATCGCTTTAAATAACATTTTATGATTCATCACAATTATAATACTAGACTACAAATTAAAAATATTATCATTTGATAGACAGTATAGAAAGGATGTTCACAATATTCACATATTTTTTTATAGATAATAATACAAACTTTAAATTCAATTTTGTTATCTTCAATAAATAAATAAATCTATTAAAAGTTGTATTTTATAAATATATTGTTATAACAATTAGTTTTTTCATTATAATTTTAATTAATCTTCATTTAAGATTAAGAGTAATACTTGTAAGGGGCTGTTCACATATTACGTTCGCACTTTTTAAGAAATCTAGAGCCCCTCCCTCCCCTATGTTCGCATGTAGTCATTTAAAAATTACGTTCGCTTGTCCCTAATCGCTACCCCTCCCCTCCCCACCTCAAGAAATAAGATATTATCTAAATGCGTAGGTTCTTAAAGTCTCTACCCCTCCCTTCCCCCTCGTTCGTAAAAGTTCGCTTTTGTCTAACCCCTCTCCCCTCAAGTGCTAACGTAATATGTGAACCACGCCTAATGAAAATTTTCAAATTATTTTACATTAAGACAAACAGCAATTTTCAGATTAGTAYTTATAGTATATTTATATAACTATTTTAAATTTAATATCGAGTTAATAATTTTTAAATATGAAATATGATATTTTTGGTTTAAATAATTTTTAAAGATTAGAATATATTAAATAAAATAATTTACAATAAAATCTTTTATTAAAAATAAAGTATTTATTATTCTTATAAAATAAGTCTTCAATTAATAAATTTCTTAAAACTAAATTAATATAAACTAATTATTGTATAATTTATATTAATTTATGGGAATCCTTACATATGTTAACCAACACAATGATAGTGCTGTCAAAATGTGTGGTCCGATAATTGCTGTCCTCATCGGACTTGAATGGCAGTGCCGGCCAATAATTGTGGCCAAAGTTCATCACATTTATTGAACCAATAAAAGTGACGTTTGGAAAGATCTTATGAATGAGTTGTGAGGGCTCACCCTCTTTGAAATGACAGTAACGGTTGAATCGGTAGGGAATGACACGACAGAAGACAAAAGCAAATGTTGTGGACAGTCGTTGATCGTCAGCATTGAAACCGAGTCGTGACTTAAATTCAATTAATAACTTTTCAGTTGATTCGGCATTTCCTGTCTTAATCTCAAGACTACATGCGTTCACATTCTGGCCACTAATCACTATACATGCAAAAGGTTTATGAGGTTCAGTCGCTTGTTGGCCGTCACAGACATCGATAGCGGCCAGACGTGTGCCGCCAAATGCTAACTTAAAGTTCATTTCTTTCATAACATCCCACATATGATGACTACAGCTGTTCCACAGATATTGACCCGAACTGTCCTTCCGGTCAAACTCTGCCGAAGATTCAAAAAATATAATACATTTGATATCTGGATCTGCTTTTAATGACTTTTGTATTTCGTCATCAAAAAACACTTTTATAGAAACGCCGCTAATCTTTGATAACAGCAAATGTGAAATACCGGCCAATCCATTGGCCACTGGATATGGATTGCAATTATGACTGGAAGTGCCAATAATGGTCTGACTCTCCAAATGAATAAACATACAGTCCTTTGGAAGATATTTGCGGTAAGCGTTAACCTTAAGWGYCGAATACCAACCGTCTTCACGGCTTAACTTCGCGTTAAACATAATAATCATTTCGGGTATCGTTTGGATGTCATTTCGGTAATATTCACAAAGTTTTTTGATAAGTAATTGTGGATCAGATAATACAAAAGGTTTTTCATCAGATATGTCATTGAGATCGGTGTCCGACAATACCGACGATTCAATTGGAAAACAATAGAAGATGTGATCCAACTGAAGACGACAGCACCGGTACTTCACTTCACGATCACTACAGTTGTGCCAAAGTTTACAAACACGGGATATACTCTTCAGYTGACGAATGCATCGGATGTGCCGAAAGATCTGTTCGACCAACAGATGATTATATAACACTTCCTCCATGTCTTGAGTTATCAACAAATTATCAAATAAATGATTATCAATGAGAGTAATAAAAACATCAAATCATCTGATAATTTGATGACAAGTTTTGATCAAATTATCGATTGGTTTGTTGTTTACATCGGTTGACAAAAAATCAGTAGATTTTGTGAAAATAAGACATTAAAATATATCCATTAGTTTTAATGTCCAAAAGTGACACCAATTGGTGACAATTGTTGAAAACTTATCGATAAAACACAACAATAACAACAAATCATATTATATTTGAAATACCAATTGATTTGTCAATTGTTGTCACACTAGAGGTCACCAACAGTTGTGAGGAACTAATAAATAACTCATAAATATTAKACACATATCTTATGATCACAAATAGGGTTTATATAATGAAAATAACAAATATATTGTAAGCCTTTTTTCATTACAGTCTATGTTATGTTTAACATGTTTTTAGTAAAAAAGGCATATTTTATATAAATTTAAATAATTTTATTAAACCTTTTTAGACACTTTTAAATTTAAGTGATTTTATTAATAATAAATTAAAAATAAATTTCATTAGTTTTTTAATTTAAAGATTTTTTTGTTATCTTTATTTATAAACAAGTTTTCATTTTTTTTGTTGAGAAGATTGGAGTTAATGATTAGAAAATGTTATAATTATTGAGTTATTTATTCATTTGGTTTGCMTTTAAAAGTGAAAGAGAGAGAGAGAGAGAGAGAGAGAGAGAGAGAGAGAGAGAGAGAGAGAGAGAGAGAGATTTAATGAGAAAAAACAAAACAAAAAATACCATAAATTGTTAAACACTTGTTTCAAATAATTTGACAGAAAAAAAGTTTTAAATAATTTAATGATAACAAAGTGACAAATGTTTTATGAAATAATTTGCATTTCTTTTTATGTATATATGCTATTAGAAAGATATGTTATCTTAAATAACTATATATTAGATAAATGATATTCACTGTTAATATTATTATTATTATATTTTATCTTTTTTGATGTATAAAATTATTTTCGGTAAAATTAAAAGTAGCAAAAAATATATTAATTAGCATTCAATGCATATAAACTGAGATTATTTTTTAAATATATCGCAACTTAAGATAATTTGTGTGAAACTCATTTAAGTGAGAAATTAGTTAATTTTATTATTTTTTGTTGAAATAAAAATTATAAAATTTATTTTTTTTAATTTTCATAACTTATACTTCAAACTTATTAAATATTAATTTACTTTTTTAAAGATAGTCTATCACTWGATAATAAATTGCATAAAAATTATAATTTTATTATAAGGTTATAATATAAATTATATAACATTTTAAAAATAATGACATATATTTAATTGATTTATAATGGATTAGTAAATTTTTCATAATATATATATATATATAGAAACAAATAATTTGAAAATATTAAAACTAAAAACTAATTATTTTATTATTATATGGCATTAAATAACTTGCATTATATTTTGTGCTAAATTGTCAAATGTATTATATTGTCGACAATAGCACTACTCATAAAACTATTATTTCTAAGCCAAATAGTATTCAGTGTTTAGATTAAGATCGATATAATTCACTAAAATTTAGTATCAAATCCAATATAACATAAAATTTCTTTAACGCAAATAACAAGAAAAATAGCTTAAACTGAGTGAAAGTCGTCTTAAAATTACTTTTTTTGCATTTTTATATATTTAATGCTTCAATTGCCTGAAGTAGAAGAGAGAGAGAGAGAGAGAGAGAGTTTCTACTTTTATATGCAATAAAGTCTTTTGGTTTATTACATTATACTAAAATATATAAAATATATGGAAAAACATTTGTGTAAAAACTAGTAAAACTCAAAATGTATAATAATTCTCGATTTTATGTTAAAATTAAAATTTATAAAATGTTACATATTTTTATCATATATTATTCACCATAAGAATTACCTTAAGAATATTCTGTGTACTGTCACATGAATTTATAAAATATGTAATAAGATATTATGACAAGTCATACACATTATATTATATTATATTATATTATTTTTTATTTTATATGATTATTACATACAATAATAATTTTACCATAAAAAATATTTATTATTAGTTATAATTTTGCTAAAATTCATTTAAAATATAATAGTAACATCAAATTTTATATGGTAATCAAGTGTATAAATAATATATTTATTGTTATATGTATGTATATTAATATTAATTTTATAGTACAGTAATATTATATGATGAAAATTGTTGTTATTTTTGTATTAATAGTAAGATTATTATTTTTATTTTTAATATTACTATGATTATTGCTTAATCAATATTATTATATATTGATAATTTTTTAGTAATAAAATCATTATTGGATTATAAAACCAGTTAATAAAATATCAAATATGCAAATTCACTTAATTATTACATACTATTATTACATTGTGTTTTCAAATTGATATATAACTATGTCTTATAYATTATAGCTAACAATTGTTGTTACGATAAATTGCTTGTTTGAAACGTTGATTGTTAAGAGAGGGAAACTCCAATTTTATTATATATTAATGGGAACGGGAGGTAATATTCYGTATTAAACATTATGAATACATAATAAACAGTATACTATTGTGTGCCTTAAGTTTGGTGTTTTACTTCACTTTAGTTTTCTATTGTGTTGAATATCTTATGAACTAATGAATGGCAAAATCGATATCATAGACAACATATGCGCTCAGTTTGTAAGGTAAAAGTGCTTTCAATTGTCACATTCAATATATTAGAAGATATTTATATTTATATATATATACTGTATATATAAATATATATTATAATATATATATAACTGTTAGAGTAAACGCATTAGTCTCGTATAGTATAAAAAGTTAACAATTTTTGGTCGATTCTCATGAATAAAGAAATATATTGTATTTGTTCGTCAGTTTCCCTTTATTTTCCTCTCTTCTAAAGTAAAAATAGTTTTCAATTCAATTTATACTTATATAATCCGCTCATAAATTACTTTAAATAACATTAAACAAGATTAATATGAATAAGACATTTGCTATATTTTATTTCTATATATAAATGTTATTTAAAAATATATAATCTTTATTCAAACTAAAAATTCAATAAAGTATCAAAAAACAAACAAAATTTAATATTGATTTCATTAAAATTAGTTATATATGTTGAATCATTAAATCTAAAATTAAGGCACCTGTAGCTTCAGCATTAGATTAGCTATTAAGTTGTTAAATAATAAGATAATAGTCAAACTTAAATCATTTAATTTGTTTTAATATATATATATATATATATATATATTGGTAAAATATAATCATTTGTTATATACAGTCTATTTTATTTATAGTAGCCATTAGTGTTGTCTTAATGTCTATGAAACCAATGAAGACAACCAACCCTTCTCTGGTACCGATAATAGACAACATTATGATAGTTGAGAGTCTTATGGAGTTTTAGTGCCATAACAGCAAATGTTTGTTATAGAAGACTATTTGGCAATAAATGTGGAAATAAATGCCATAAGTTTTACATTAAAGTAGTAAATAATGTGAATTTCGTTAACATTAAAGCCAGAGTTGATTGCTATTTGATGTCAAAATTAGTATTGAATTTCAGAGAGTCATTCAATTACTGTATAAATCACAACATAAGACTAAAACTATTTTTTATTTTTATGTGTGAAAAATGTTTGGTTAATTTTATAACAAAATTAGTGATAGTTATTACTGTAAATAACCATTAATGTGTTATAATAGTTAATTAAGTAGTTTATATATTTTTATGCTATTTATATATAAAAATATTAAAAATTACTTAAAATATATGAAAATATAAAATAAAATTTATTTTATTGTTTCATTTGAATTATCTAATAGTTTGACATTTTTAATGAAATTATTATAATTATTAAGTCATTTTTGTTGACTATTGTTATAATTACTTATTATTGTTATCTCATAATACCATTATATTATCAAAAGTATAAATTATAACTTAATATATAATGAAAATGTTGTAAAAKTTGTTTTTCTATCGATATTTTGGTGGCATATCTGAGAAAAGCATACAAACAAACCTTAGAGTAAAAGCTGACAATTTGTAAACAAGTATATCATTAGGTCTTTCATCTAATTCTTTAATATGATTCATATATTACAGCCTTTGCTTTATCTCATTATTTTTGGTCTCGAAATCACTTATTTTCTAATCTTTTCTTGTATTGCATTCAAACTTTCAAACATTATTCTCACTTTCATTGCACCTAATGATGAATAATGGATTAATTTACAAACCATAAGATATATATGTATATAACGGTGTAATTACTTTATCTATTCCTCTAAATGTCTCAATAATTGCGTTTCTATATTAATATAAGAAAACATTAAATATTTTTATACAATAGAAAAGGCATATTATAAAAAAATTAAGACAAATAAAAATAAAACAAGAGATAGTTTAAAATAACATTTTTTTGACAATAAACAAGAAAAGTAAACTTTTTCTAAAATAAAATCTTCACTTATTTTGATTCTACTTTTATTTGTTGTGATATATCTCACAAACCTTTTATGATTGTAAACCAAAAATATAGTCACGAATCTAAACATACTATACTCTTAAAGACAAATAAATAGTTAGCAATAGTGTATCGATCTATTTATATAATGATTATTATACAGTATATACARACATAAACAACYAATAAATTGGATACAATTTATGTAATATTAGATTCACTTAATAAAAAGCAAAAAGAAGGAAATAACTAAAAGAAGAAAAATATAGATTTTTGCTTATATTTCAGGAATTTTTATTAAGAAAAGAATGATAATAATGACCAAAATGTCTAATATTATAACATTATATACATTTAGATTAATCACTTTAATCGGATCTAACAATTTGGTTATTATCACATTATTCACACAACAATCAATTTATGTATGTATTAATAAATATTTAAAAGATATAGCAATACTTATTAATTTGTTTTTTCATAACTTTTATTATAAAAAAATATAATTTATATAATTGTTGTTTTTCTTTATATTATAGATTTGTATAGATGTGCAATAAAAATGAATTAATAATAATTAACTTTAACCTATAATTATTAACATTGTATGCAATGATGACTTAATGCACTTTACAGACACTATGTTTAGTGACCGTAGAATAACGTTTGAAATCATTACTCATTCATCGCTTTAATGACAGTCAACTGTCCGCACCATAAAAAATAYTATTCAATTA